TTCCCCCACCCCTTCCTCTCCCCGGATACTGGCGTCTCTAATTACCTGGCAAATAGGACGCACGCGACTCGACGAAGAGGGGTTCATGAGGCATGAAATTAACGCAAAGTCGGAAGGTGGAGAGGGAAATTTCCGAAGGGGCTTGTCGACGTCCGCTGTGCTAATTCAATTTATCTTTGCCTGCCCCGCCAACCGCCGCGTCCCTCCCAGCAGGCCGCATATTCAACGCCACGACTGCGGTGCCGTGGCGGTGCCCCCCCCCCCTCCTTCCCCCTGGCACCTGACGGTGCGTGTGGCTCCGGGACGCTCACCCTCCCGCCGCCGCTGAAGACATCAGGCATGCCCTGGTCGCAGTTGATGGGCTGCGTCGCGTTGGGCGCCGTCAGGTTGAAGACGAGCGACGCCGCCGACGCGAGGAGGGGCGTGCCGAAGACGGCCTCGGCTTCGGCGCCCACGAGCACCGAGCCCTCCACGGCCATGGTGACGGTCCTGGGTGCGACCGGGGCGCGCGGCCGCGCGTGAGTGGGCCCCGGGCTCAGCCGCCGTCGCCGAACACCAGCAGGGCGGATCTCATCTTAGCCCCGCGGCGGCGGCGTGGCGGCGGGTCGCGGCCGAGGTGGTCGACGACGAGGAGGCCGTGGCCGCGGCCGTGGCTGTGCGTGGCGCTGCACGCGCGGTTGGCTCCTGCAACAGGCAAAAGGGTACGGGTCAGCTCGTCTGTCAAAGGAAAGCAATTTCCTGGACGTTTGGTAGGAAATATGGAAACATCGATGGTCTGACGGTTAAGTGCGGTTAGAGGGGAGGGGGAGGAGAGGGGTAACCAAGGGTAACCCTTGCGATCCCGAGCCCGATCGTCGGTTGTGGTCGTGGCTAAAGGGTGGCCAGCGGTCGCGGATCGGAGATCACTTGGGGAGGAGTTGAGATACAGCGAGGGGCTCGGTAAGTACTTTGGAGCCCTCATGCGCATGCGGACCCCCCAGGCCGCATCCCTCCAGGGTTACCGCGGAGCGCCGAGCCACCCAGAAAAATGAGCTAGATTGTCCGACCTATTTTTCTCCGACCTGGCAATTTTACCAAAATCCCAAAAAGTGCTGTCCGACCTAAGTTTTGTCCGACCTATTTTTCTCCGACCTCGTCGATATGCTGAAATTTGGGAAGAATGTTCTTTAAAGACGAACAAGGCTTCAGAGGGCATGAAGGGGTACTTTAAGTGCAGTGAGGGAAAGACCGCGACTTTGACGGAGTGCAGCCCCACGTCACAGAACAGTCAAAAGTCCGCTCGG